CAGTCTCTTCCCAGCAAGAGAGAGTATGTAGTATCTGCGTCCACAATAAAGAAAACAGTGGAGATCTTCTTTGGTCTGACCTCGATCGTGGCAACCATCATGCCTTCAGGCTTAGTCGGCTGCCCTGTAAAACTTGTCATTTCGAATTCCACAGGAGACAGATCATGAATTCCTTTTCCTAGCTTCTTGAGAGTCTTCAATGGCATAACATTAAAGACTGCTCCATTATCCACGAAAACCTTTGTGATTGGTTTCCCACAAATGTGAGCATTAACATACAGAGGTTTCAAATGAGAGATCGCACCCTCTGGAATAGGAGGAAACACAATCGAAGGTGCCTCCGTCTGAGGCTCGGAATCTGAAGTCTTTGCCCACTCTGTTTCCTCTAATTCGTCATTTGCCAAGAAAGCCCATAAAGGTTCGTCCAGAGTATCATCTACCAGACTCGCCCACATTGGTTCATCTCTAATCTGATTAATCTCTGTCATCCGACAAGGGATTCGTGGTCCCAGACGAGATTTAACAGATCTTGAACTTTCCTCTGTAGTTACAACATCTTCCTTTGCCTTATCTCGAGATTGAACCGTCAGGGATTCTATGCGGAATTCTTCAGGAGATGGATTGATGTTAATCCGTTCACAATGTTGGCATCTAAAACCTCTAATTATTTCATCTGCCATTCCTTTACCTTTCCCCTGTCCCGACGAACTTCCTTTGGTATAGTCGGAAGCGCCTAATCCGTCGTTCGGTTGCTTTCTTGAACAGACCCGACTGGACCGACTTTTTGGAGACTGAATGGCTGCTCCCTGCTCGTTGGTCAGTTGTTCTGTAAAGACTCTAATGGACTGATCTCCTGCCAAGTGGTCGGCTGCTTTTTGTTCGTCGGTTCGTTGTTTTACTGAAGGAACTCGTTTCCCATACTTTGCAGCATACCTGCGTTTGGCATTGCGAATCTGTGTACGATTCATACCTGGGAAACGAGGATCTATATCGACGGGTAAAGGCTTTCTATTTCGAGCCCAATTGTTCCCGACTGAACCTGTTTTTCTGGTCGGGTGGTCACGCACTAAAACCTTTTCTTTCAACTCCACATTAAAAGAACCGTCTGGACGGTCCCATTTTTCAGCGACTGGCCTTTCAACAACTTTGAGACGTTCTTCCGGTCGGCCACTGTTTGGCTGACTTCCTTTTCTTGTTCCAGGGCTTGCCTGAGTTCGTTCCCCTGTTTGTCCATCATTGGCCGAACTTTTCCCTGTTTCCGAACTTGGTTGGATGTCAACCATTGCCGTTGTTACTTTCGGAAACGGTTGCTGGTCTACACCTAGAGTGATGTATTTGAGCCGACCTGTCTTGATGGCCTTTTGAATTTCCTTCCTGAAATGAGTACACTGACTTGTATTGTGTGTGAAAGAATTATGCCACTTACAATATGGTCTCCCTTTGATTTCTTCTTTAGTGGTCAATCTTTGCCCCTTTGGAATACGGATCTGCCCATCAGTCAGTAGGATATCAAAGATTTCATCAGCTTTCGAACTATCAAACGTCGGTTGCTCCTTTCCGTCAGATCCTGGTACTGGCTTCAATTTAGGGCATACATAAGGTTTTCCAGAAAGGATTTCGGCTGCCATCTCCTCTGACTGATTAAAATCAAAGTCACATGTTTCTGTTCCCATACTCGCCATATGTTGGCCTCTATTACGCCTGTTATGTTGATCTTCTTCTCTGAACAAAGACTCTAAACGTCCTGCCTTGGATGCAAGACTTGCCAAATCCTCAACATCCAGGGCAGTGAGTGCCTTTCTTAAGCGAGTATGCATATTCCGGACCACTAAATTGGTCATTTCTTTCTCACTGATTACCGTAGGACATCGTCCCTTCATCAACCGCACCCTTTCTATAAACTGTGAAGCAGATTCTTCTGGATACTGTCTCAACTCTAGTAAATCGGTTAAAGAAACAGTTGGTAAAGGATTGAAGAATCTGGCATGAAATGCCGTCTCCAGTCCTTCCCACGTCTGAATTTGTCCAGGAGGCAGACTTGCAAACCACGAAAACGCTGTTCTAGTAAGAGATAAACCAAACAGCTGCAACTTATAAAAAGGGTTATTGCCAACTTCCCCTAATTGTGCTGTGAACCGACCAACATGTTCTATGGTGGAAGATCCGTCCTCCCCTGAGAATGCATGAAAATCGGGTGGTCGATAATTCCTTGGGAGAGGGTGTTCATTAATGATCCTTTATGGGAAAGGTCTCTGATATGCAGGGCGGTTAGCCATCTGAGGAGTTAATCCATACTGATCCCTTAATATATGTGCAATCTCATCAGGATCTACATGAAAGCGTTGATGATCAGGAACATGGAACGGATCCTGCACAGGAATATGAATAGGATCATGTATAAATCCTTCAGGCCTGTCCTCCCTTGTATTGTTCGGCTGCGGATTGGTAACCCTTGGTCCCAGTGGAACAGTGTTGGGAAAAGTCAGAGGAGATTTTCCCCTATCCATTCGGTTGGGATTTGTGGCACTTGGGAATGTACTATCCACGAATGATGGCCCTGCGAAATTTGCCTGTGGTCTGGATGGTGATACTCCTGGTGGAGTCTGAGTGGGTTGAAGACTAACCCTTGACAGTGCTTGATCTATCATGTTCTGCATCAGACTCTGTTGCTCACGCAACATGTTCGTTTGTTGCTCACGCAACATATTCTGCATAACCAAAGTATGCTGGTTGTTCATTTGTTGAACATAAGACCACCAATCAGATGGTGGTTGTGGGATTTCCCCGGCATTTGGCACAATAGGTGGTGGAACGGATTCTCCCACCGGTGCCGAAGATGATTGAGGTTGTGAACCTGTCATATGGACCCTTCCGATGATACGGCCGGATCTAAGACGTATGAAATTATCGCCGGAATTGGAATGAGCAATTTTGTCTTGCTCCCACTGTGGTCGCCAATTTGTTGATGTAATTTTTCAACAAAAATAAAGTAAAATTCAAAGATATAGAAAATATCCTTAAACTTGATTAATTAGTGCCTGAGATTAGGAATCTCTAAACACTGTACGGTACAGAAAATAAACTGGAAAATAAAAGACTGAAATTTAAAATGGTGATCCCCAAATCTGACTTTGCTTTGTTGAAGTTGATTGAAGATGCCTTGTCAAATTATGTTCCAAATCCTTAAATATTCTCTGGGGAACTGTACTGAAAACCGTCGCCCGAACGGTTATAACGTCTCCTTCCCAACCGTCTTCCAATCCTTCTCCTGCTAACACGTGTCCTCAGCAGACCAATATTCCACTCTTTGAGCCGACCATAGACCTTCCGCCCTTTTGGCCCGACTGCCAATCTACAACCGCATTGGTCCGACTGCCAATCCTCCCGACCTGCAAACCATCTGACTTATTTGGAGTAGCTACAGACATCCCGACTAACAAACCATCCGATTCGTTGGTCCTGCCGCAGAGTTCCGATTCGAGAACTTCCCGTCCTGAAGGCCTCCCGACCTACGGATTTCCCGTCCTGAGGGCCTCCCGACCTGCGGACTCCCCGTCCTGATGACTTTCCGTCTTGAGGACCTCCCGACCTGAAAACCTTCCGACTTGAGGTCTTTCCGTCTTGAAGACCTACCGACCTAAAGTCCTTCCGTCCTGATAACTTTCCGTCTTGAGGACCTCCCGACCCGAAGACCTTCCGCCCTGAGGTCTTTCCGTCTTGAGGACCTCCCGACCTGAAAACCTTCCGACCTGAGGTCTTTCCGTCTTGAGGACCTACTGACCTGAGGTCCTTCCGTCCTGATGACTTTCCGTCTTGAGGACCTCCCGACCTGAAAACCTTCCGACCTGAGGTCTTTCCGTCTTGAGGACCTTCCGACCTGAGGACCTTCCGACCTGAGGTCTTTCCGTCTTGAGGACCTCCCGACCTGAGGTCCTTCCGTCCTGATGACTTTCCGTCTTGTATTTTCCTTAGAAATAAACCTATTTCCCTTGATTTCCTCACGGTGTCCTTCAGCCAGTTCAATCAACCCTATTTTCAGGCCCATTCTCCTTTTACCTTGGGCTTTTAACCTAACTCTAAATTTCGTACGTAACACTAACAAAAAGAAAGAAATATCATAATTGATAAAATAAATTTTTGGGAGAACGAGAAGGGCAATATTGAAATTAGGAGTGTTGTAAGGAATTACTGTTGAAGTTTTTCAAAAATTAGGAGTGCAGTGTATGTAAAAATGTATGTAAGACTGAATTTAAAGATCAAAATAAGAGTTAAAATTTATATCCAATTATCCGTTATTTAAGTGTGTTTTTTAGAGTTTGATTCAATTTTTTTATTAGACAATAATTGCAATTTTTATACATATAAAATTATTTATTCTTATAAAATATTATATTTAAATTCAAATCATTCCACGAATTAAAAGCTAAACCTCAAATCAAAACCAAACTTTTAGTATGAGAAGATAAAATTAATTCCATATAAATACAAATTTTAAGTTTTTAAGTTTTTAAAAAATCTAAGAATAATAAAACATTAGATATTTAATATGATATTTTACATATAAAAAATATTTTAAAAAATTATTATTAATAAATAATATAAAAAAATTCTTAAAACACATAGATGTCTTTACTTGTAAGATTTTGGTTTTAGGTTTTGATTTTAAATAGTAAAATTTTAAATTAAAAATATTGTTTAATGTGATATAAATATGTATTTGATCAGATATTTTGAATTCAGATATTAATTTTAATGTAATATAATAAATAAAAAAGAGATGACTACTTTGATATTTTTGGAAAAAAAAATTAAAATACTAAAACTAAAATCAAGTATCATGAGCAAATTAAACATACCCATAAACATGATCTAATATACATTTAACTCGGAAATCCTAAAAGTAGAATTGGGCTGTAGTCCAATGGAATATATGATGGCCCAATACTCGATACCTAAAAATTAAATCTTTTTTCTTGCAGAGAGAGAGAGAGAGAGAGAGAGAGAGAGAGAGAGAGGGGGAGGTGGGAGGGAAGGAGAACGATGATTGAAAAAGATTGAAAGTTTGGGAATGTTGCATTGGCGAAAGGTAGTTTCGGATGGCATTTTCAGCCTAGAGTTTCTCCACCGGTGTCTTCGGAAGAAGTCTAGCCATGGTTATAGGGGTAGCAGAGTTGGAAACAATGAAGAAGGTGAAGAACAACTACGCCTGTTCAAGAGCAAAGGTCAGCATCTTTTGACCAACAACCGAGTACTCGACTCAATCGTTCGAACTTCAAGCATAAAACCTGACGATATTGTTCTCGAAATCGGTCCGGGCACGGGGAATCTCACTCTAAAGCTCCTTGAAGCTGCTAGAAGAGTTGTCGCTGTCGAAATCGACCCTCGGATGATCGATGTTCTTCGTAAGCGCGCCGCTGAGAGAGGATTTCTTGAACGCTTGAATGTGAGAGTTTTCAGCTTTGTAAGTTTGATTTATGCGCTTGAACTGTTCGCTGAAATGCCAAAAAAAAAAATGGTCAATATGTTAATCAGTACAAGTTTATTTCAGTTTTCATTGGTGACATTGCTAAATGCAATTGCTGTTTGGTTTTGCAGATCATCAATGGCGACGCACTGAATGTTAAATTGCCAGAATTCAATCTGGTTGTGGCCAACATTCCATATGGTATATCGTCTCCATTATTGGCTAAATTAGTGTATGGGGCGAAGGTGAAACCATTTAGGAGTGCTACACTGTTGCTCCAGAAAGAGTTTTCGAGGAGGTTACTAGCAAAGCCTGGTGATTCTGAGTTCAATAGATTGGCTGTGAATATTAAGCTGATGGCCGACGTAGAGTTTGTAATGAATGTGAGCAAGAGGGACTTTGTACCCTGTCCCAAGGTGGATTCCTCTGTTGTCAAAATTTATCCTAAAATTGAGGTCCCGGAAGTGGACTTGAACGAGTGGTGGGCTTTCACGAGGACTTGTTTTAGCAAAAAAAACAAGACTTTAGGTGCAACGTTCAAGCAAAAGAGGAAGTTAATGGAGCTAATGAAATTGTCGGAAGGAAGTTCCTGTGTAGATTGTAGTTCCAAGTCATCTTATTATGACAGCAGTAGCGAAGAGGATGAGGAGGTTGTAAGGGATGGAAGGCACGGTGATTTGATTATGGGATTTGGAATTGACGTCAGCTCTTTCAGGAAGAAAATTATAAGCATTTTGGAATGTGGTGGATATTTGGATAAGAGGCCCTCGAAACTATCCAATGACAATCTTCTGCAGTTGTTATTTCTGTTCAATGAAGCTGGGATATATTTTCATGATCGAACAAAGCCAAACGAAGCATGTGACAGCTCATGATGATATGATGTCAGATGTATGTTATTAAGGTTGTTCTTTCTTGATCTTCTTACAGGTTACATCTGCTTCAAGCATGGTGTATGATTGTATTATTGAGCTACCACTTATTGTCGGGAATGTATGAAGAATATTGTCCAATGGTGTAATTATTTTGACAAAATTGAAGGAACACATCATGTACTTCGTTCAATTCTATTAAGTCTACCCTCAATAATATTGCCCTCTACACCATCGATTCAAGCAGTTGAATATTCCTGTTGCTTCAAAAAGTCCTTTAATAGTATGATATATATATATATATATATATATACAGTCCTGCATCATCTCCAATTCGCAGCAATGTTCCGTGGGTTTAGGGATTTTTAAGTTTGCATTCTGAAAAGTTTTACCTTTCGCAGATTATTTTTTGTTCTTTGTGATTGAGGATGTGAGAGAGAACTGAAATGATGATTTATTGCTGGAAAATATTGGTAGGTTATACAGAGAAGTATTAGAAGAATATGGTTAGAACGTTGTCATGCTTTTATAATGTTATATTCGTGTATTGTTATTGTCTACGTAGTTAATTTTGAGTATTCTTGTGTTTTTATAATTATATTGGAGTTGGATGCTATTCCTAAAGTTTGAGCATTCAATGTTTTTAAGCTTGATGTTTGATGTATTAGCGAATTCTGAAACCTGAGTTTGTGACTTGACCAGTGCCGATGGATCTGCTTTATCGGGATACAGATGGATAAGCATTTGTAGGTAGTGAAAGTAGCAAGAATTGGTTATTTCGATAGTGTTTTTGTTAGACAATTATCCTAGGCTATATTCATAGAATCAGTATAAGATCGAAACTTGTGTCTGTAATGAAGTGTGTAGGCTTCAGATTTCGAACTTGGTTATTATGGAAATTATGAAACTATACTCAAACAGAAAGATTGGTTATGTTGTGTCCAATGCACAATAAATCAGTTTGTTCTTCTCCTCATCATCTACAAGTCATGCCTGGATCGAAGTTATACTGAAGTTCAATCTAATTGAGTGAAATTAGATTAGCAATGTACGTTTAAATATTCGTGCATTTATAATCTATCAACTATTACAGCATATTTGGCTCGTATTTAAGTTTGTGTTTTTTAGCTTCAGATTTTAGTTTAAATAGCAGTTGAATGAGAGAAAATAGCTTAATTTTATAAGAATGGTGAAGATAACAGTCTTATATTACTAAATCTAATATCTAAATTTTCTCGCTTTGGGAAACTTTGGATATACGCGCATCTCCTAGGAAATTTCTCAGTATGAAGAGTCGATCCTTGAGGTGAACCTATGATCGCGCAGCACTTCCTGTTTGTGTGGTGAGGCAACGGTGTTACGCCTTTGGACTCCCCAAATCCCTTCTTAGGTATGTTGATCGGTAACTTTTAATTGGCCGAGGTTTTTGTTGTGCATTTCTTAGCCACCATTTATAATGTTTCATAGTATACCATAGTAGTTGTATATATCTCGATAGATCCTCTTGCCTTTTATTGAGTTTTATCTTCTTGTTTGTGACATTTGAGTTGCTCATTTCTTGATATATATTATACATTGTGTTGTTTCTCGTGTTTTTTAACAGCTGAGCTGTATTATAAGACTACACTCGATCCAGACAACTGTCGGGGTCTTGAAGGCACAAAGCTCGGACAGATTGACGACAAAAAATGTAGAAAGTAAGATGGATTGGCTGGCTACATTTGCTTTTATGTTTGTTACTATTTCTGTGTTGCTTGTTTATGTTTATATGCAAAAAAATTATCAGTTTTAAACCTTCTTTTTTGTCTCCAATATTTTCCAATCCGTTAACGTGACATTGCAAAATTAAATTTGTCAAAATAAAATTTGTGGGACGGGGCCTATTGAAAGCATTACATAAAATACCCTCTTCTTGTTCTATTCTTTGTCCATGTTTTTGGTCTAAATTCATTGTATTTGATATCATAGATGGGCACATCAAGTATTGGCATATTCCCATATTAGCAACACTAATTATTATTATTGTGAAATTATAAATTACAAATTTAAAGGAAAGAAATCAAGGTCACATTAGCAAGACTAATTATTATTATTGTGAAATTATAAATTACAAATTTAAAAGAAAGAAATCAAGACCACAAAATAGTGAACTAGTATAACATTCTAGTATGTATGTAGCTCAAGATCGTACGCAGACTCCATAGATCAACAGAAGTTCTTTTAATATGTTATGTCGTCTTACTCAATCAATCATACTATAAGGGAATTTCCAAAAGCTCACCCTCTAATACTCCAATCAAAGTATCTTTTCGCAAACTAGTCAGGTTTACAATTTTAAATTGGTAATTTTACAGGTCAGGACAAGTCATTTCGAACCTCTGGTACACCTACATATTCAAAAATTCTTCTTTCCATTGAAATATGGGCTACCATCAAAACTAACAAAGTATTAATATTATCATTATGTTCTTGAATCTTGAGCAAAACAAATTAATATTAAATCTCATACTCTTTTCAAGTCAATCAAAAGAAGTTAAATTCATGAATGAGCAATTGACATTATTGATGGGTAGAGAGACTTCATTTTTGTAAAGGCGTCACCGCGATGGGGAGCTTCCTCTTCATTTTCACCGTCGGGAAATATGTTATATCGTCCTTCCCGGTAGTCCAACGGCAAAGACAACATATTTTTTTAGAAATGAGGATCAATTCTGTTCGCAAACAATAAACCTATTTTTCTTATTTGGTAAATGAAGATCCCACACTATTAATACAGTATTTGAAAAAATTACTTATAATCCACCTTTGGTTTGAAAAGTCAACATCATACTTCCCGTGATTTAAACTTTGCACAAGAGTCTCTTGTGTTTTAAAAATATTACATAAAATTTCCTAAAAATCGCATAAAACTTCTTTGTAATTTTGAAAATATTGCATAAAGTCTCCTAAAAAGAGACGATATTTCGAAAATACAAGGAGTCTCATGTTATATCTAAATCATAAGACAGAATGGTTGTAGATTTTTCAAAGTACAAATGAATTATAAGTAATTTTACCAAAATATTCTATAATAACATAAAAGTACTAAAATACTCATATCAACACACACTATTTATTAAGTGTGGAGTCTTATAACTTAAAATATTTTGGTGTTTACACACTTATACACAATATTTATGCAAATAATAACTAGATGTGTTCGTCTAACATATTTTTTATGACACGATTCCTGATGAATATTAGAAAAAGTTATCGAATTGAATAATGTAATGCGTAACGATAAGTTGTAACGAGATGGTGAAAGAATATTGATGCCTTTGAACCCAATATAACATTGTTTTTATGTGACTTGATTTCTTAATTATGAAAATGTGAATTATAATGTCGCATCATTGTTTGATGTTTATATAAATAACCTCTTGGCTTGTTTCTTTTGCAATGTTTGTATGTGGGGTTTGTGTTAATTAACATGCTTCAAGTTCATCAACCATACTGCGTTAATTATGTTGGAGTTGCGTGTCGATGATAGGTTCTACTTTTGATGCTTAGACTGCGTAGCATATATCGATCATATCTATATTTTGGAATGTAGACATTTTTGAATTTTTGAGAAATTCTACCATCAATAAAGTTATTGTTTTGTATGACAATGACAACATGACACATGAAGGCATAAGGATTGGTAAGTTTACTATCTCTTGAATATGAACTTGACATTGACTTAATTTTTTATTACACAGGTTGTGCATGACTATTATAATTTAATTTTTTTCAAAATGATTGTGCTCCAAGTACACCCGAAATGACTTCAAGAGGCTGTCTATGAAATGATAGATGGATATCTCATTTAAACTGCTCGTATTGCTAGTTCTAACATAAAGAACATGGAAACAACCAAAATGATTTATGAAAAGACTTGAGAACAACAAAGAAATTATTGAACTCCATAACTGGGTAGAAAGCTTTGCTTCACAATTTATATACCATGCTGGGATTTGATGGATGATTTATTATTATATATTTTTTAGTTACCACTTTTGTTATTTTTGTATGATATTTTGGTAAATGGAAGTAGATTTTATACATTTATATGGTATGTGCTACTTGCGGTATTCATACTAAATATATTTTATTCGTATATGGTATATTATACTCTGTTTTGATTTGAAATTTCTAAATGATTTTAGTTAGTTTTCATATCTTTGATGAGAGATAGTAATCAAATCATTAAATTGGGTTGATTTTGGAGGATTGAATTAATATTTGTTATATATGTTTTGGAAAAACCAGCAAAGCATAGACTACATAAATTGCGACGGAATTAACAATTGTTATATTCCCTCGCAATTAATAAACATTGTGAAAAAGTGCAACGGAATCAGCAACAATTTTTTTTTTACAATGAACTACGTCAATAATATCTTTCTGTAGTAAAATTTTGTGGCAAAAAACTTGAGACAGAAATAACAGTCACTAATTATGTGGTAATTTTCTACAACGGAAATCTTAATTGTCACATTCTATTACTATAATAGTATTTACTACCGCTCCCACTTGAATATAAATTCTGTTGTAATGAAAGTTGTGATGGAAATTTTTTCTATTGTTACATTTTTCCGTAGTAATTTATAATTTTTCGTAGTGGTTAATCTTAATATATTGAAACTTCAAAATATAAAATATATCAAATATCAGTATATTAAATGAATAATTTAATACATGTTGCATATTTTGATGCTTAATGTTTGAATTTTGGGGTTAGTATTTGTTTATAAGTATTTAAATATTGTTGTCTTGTGTTTATATATATATAGTTTTTAGACATTTTGATTCAATACAATTGTTTATTTGACACAAAACATTATCTGTTATACAACAATGTATAGTTGTGTTGTATGAGTATACTAGTTATACTGAATTTAACTATAGATTGTCATATGTTTAATTATGACCTATGCTAACCATTTATATATGTTATGTTTTGTATTATTTTAACATAAAACGTTCAGTACATTTCATAGATAAATATAACACAATTTATAGTTAAATCTAACACAATTACATGTTATTTAACACGCAATTTAATGTTTGTATTTATAAATTGTGCTGACTTTCTCTTAACAAATGAACACTAGCCAAAATCGAATCCTTAATTAATGAACTGAGCTCAAACA